CAATTCTCATTTTCAACCACACATTTTTCAATAAAATAATATTTTCCATCACATCAATAATTTTTTCATCTTTTTCAACCACACATTTCTCATCATATCACTATTCAAAATCAATTCTTCCTCGAAAAAATCCCTACCTTACAATAATAATCAATTAAGTATTTGGTGAGCTTTTATTTTAAAATTAATTTATTTCAAAATCAAAGTTATGCGTTTTGTGAAAAAAAATGTTATATTATTGTGTTCCTATGCATTTACTCAAATGAACATTGATTATAATGATATATCTATGTATTATCATCATTGATAATACTGTAATTTTAATTTTAATTTTATAACTTAAATTATCCAAGACAATATATTCATTATCTTTAGTTCAAACTTTAAATAATAATAATAAAATAAAATCTATTAAATCTGATTTTTTTATAAAATCAGAATTACAATAAATCTAAACTACGAACAAACAAAGCACAAAAAATAAATAAATTATATTCATAGACATAGGAGTTAAAATTAAATGATATATATAAAAAGCTCTAAGCAGAAAATAAGAAACTACAAATTTGATACTTCTCAAAATATTTGTCAATGGTACAGATTCTTTTGTTATCAATTTAAATTTACTTAAATTTAAAATACAGATAATTAATAATAATAAATAAATAAATGACCCTAACTTTTGATAATTAGAGATATCAACCAAATTTCAGGTCAATCATATTATGTAAATCCCAAAACTAATATCCCTCTCCATTTCACATTTCCACATGCCCAAAATTTCTTGCTCCACATCCACTCAACACACGAAATAATAGTAACACCACATTTTGAGGTGATAATTCGTACCTACATAATCTAAATTTGGCACATCTGCTATTGATAGCTAACCATGGATAAAAAAAAAAAAAAGGTCATTATTCATATTTGTTCAACTTTAACCAAACATCTATTTTTTAAAATTAGAAGAGCTTTTACCCTCCAAAAAGTACTTTTGAGTTTTAAAAAGTCCTCTCAAACACACAATAACTCATGTTAATAGAGAGATATCAAACTAATTTCACATGTTATTTTTTGTTCTTCACCTGATTATGAAAAAAGAAAAAATAGATATTGACTCTCAACCATGTAGGTAGCATGGTTTTGAGTATGGGTGAACAAAATGATCAAACCAAAATCAAACAAATAGAGCGTTTCGGTTCTATAAAAAAAATTAATGGTTCTAATTCT